CTCCATTTCCCATTCACCCTCATTTTAAGAATATTACATCTTAAAAATAAAACCTCAACAATGTTGACATGCAGTTTTCATGATCATCTCCAAAGACACTTTGAAAAGCAATATCTCCAGTTTTATTCTGAACAATCACACATGTGCATATTTGTACATACACTTCCACACTCACTCTCATTAGAATTTTTGCAGCAAACAAGTCAAAAATTTCAGAACTGTACAGAGTTGTAGTTAAAAGACAAGCATTTCACCTGTATACTGGTATTGTAGCCACGAACCACGATATGGGCAGGGGAGAGTGTTTGAGCACCAATCTTATAACTCTTTTCTGACATTATGTGCAATTTTGAGGAAGGTACCTCGAGATTGAGAGAATGGGAAGAAAAGAAATGGAAGGGATATGTGCCTTCATTCATTGATTAGAGAACACTATTTTTTTCTATTCTTATCTTCTTCTTGATTTGTTGACCATGATTTCTCCAACTCGTGTCATAAATATGCAATTTTTTCCCTTCTTATGCTCAAATGCTTTCGTTTTGTCAATTAAGTTTATGAACAAAATTCTCATACAAAAGGTTTAACATCTTTGATAGGTGGTTCATTTGCTTACTTAAGGGTGGAGCTCGGTGACTTTGTAGCATTTATAGCAGCTGGTAACATACTTCTTGAATATGTGATTGGTTCAGCCGCAATGGCTCGCTCATGGACTTCCTATTTCGCCACTCTTTGTGGCCGCCAACCTGACGATTTCCGGATCGTGGTAAATTCTCTAGCAGAAGGCTACAATCGCCTTGATCTGATAGCCATCGGTGTTTGCATTATAATTTCCATCATTGCATGTAATAGCACCAAAGCTTCTTCTAGGATCAACTATATTGCATCAGTTGTTCATGTCCTAATCCTCCTCTTCATCATTGTTGCTGGTTTAATCCATGCGGATACCAAAAACTTCACCCCCTTTATGCCATTTGGTCCTCGTGGTGTATTCAAAGCATCGGCTGTGTTGTTTTTCGCTTATACTGGTTTTGATGCTGTTTCAACTATGGCCGAGGAAACCAAGAATCCTGCTAGGGACATCCCTATTGGCCTAGTTGGTTCTGTTTTATTGACCACTGTGTTGTATTGTGCATTGGCTTCTGTTCTTTGTCTTATGCAATCGTACAAGAATATCGATGTCAACGCCCCGTTTTCAGTTGCATTTGAAGCTGTTGGTTTAGGCTGGGGAAAGTATGTGGTTGCTGCAGGTGCGTTAAAAGGGATGACCTCTGTTTTGCTAGTGAACTGTGTAGGCCAAGCTCGTTATCTAACGCACATTTCCAGAACTCACATGATGCCCCCTTGGTTTTCTTATGTAAATGCAAAATCTGGAACACCAGCCAATGCCACTATATTCATGATGACATCTAGTGCACTTCTTGCATTATTTACAAGTCTTGATATTCTTTCAAACCTTTTGTCTATATCCACACTCTTTATCTTCATTCTTGTGGCACTTGCTCTTCTTGTTCGGCGTTACTATGTCAGTAACGTGACCACTAAAGAGAATAGAAACAAGCTCCTCGCGTTACTTGCACTCATTGTGGCATCATCTATTGGCACTGCTACTATTTGGGGTGTTACAGATGATTGGAAAGGATATTGTGTCACATTACCAATATGGTTCTTGGCAACTGCTGGAATATCAATTTTGGTGCCAAAAGCTAGGAGTCCAAAGGTATGGGGTGTACCTTTGGTACCATGGATACCATCTGCATCCATTGCCATTAATTTCTTTCTTCTAGCTTCCATGGATAAGGATTCTTTTATACGGTTCGCCGTTTGGACTGTCTTTTTGTTGGTATATTATGTGCTCTTGGGGTTGCATGCTTCTTATGACACTGCCAAGGAGCTTGAGAAGAATGCAGAATGGGGAAAAGTTGAAGGAGGAAATGCTTCTTCACTTACAAATGCTGGAGATACCAAAAGTGAGCCAGTTGCTTCAAGTAAATAAATTAGGCTCTAATTAGCATTTCTAATTAACATCTGAGAATTTGGATTAGGTGAAACGGTGCTATAGTTTATTCCTGTAAATTTGAATTGTATAAAAATTTGTTTGTGTCCTATAAGAGATCTATGGCTCATTCATTTTTCTTTCTTTCTTTTTTTTCACTCAAATAATCCTTAAAAATCTTATAATCTTAAAAAATGAATAAATAAAAAGGTTATCTAACAGAAAGTAAAGGACATCTAGTAATACTAGAATGCTATTTGATCAATAATGTATTTCATCCTAAAATTTCATATTTACTACGGGTAAACTTTTGCATCTATACTCAATTTTGGGGTCACAATTGAACCTATACCCACTTTGCAAAAACGTTTGCAAGCGTACCCACTTTACGATCAATTTCAGACTTATCGGGTCTGAAGTTAAAAAAAATTAGTCAGAAGTGAAAAAATTACACTTCAAATGCACATAAGGCCAATAGATTTGAAGTGCAACTAATGGTTTCATGCACTTAAGGCTAATAAGTCTGAAGTGAAAAAATGTACTTCAGATGCACTTAAGGCCAATAAATCTGAAGTAAAAAATTGCACTTCAGATGCACTTAAGGCCAAAAAGTCGGAAATGCAACAAATGTTTTCATTCACTTAAGGCCAATAAGTCTAAAATAAAAATTTGCACTTCAGATGCACGTAAGGCCAATAGGTCTAAAGTGTAACCAATGGTTTCATGCACTTGAGGCAAATAAGTTTGAAGTGAAAAATTACACTTCAGATGCACTTAAGGCCAAAAGGTATGAAGTGCAACAAATGTTTTGCTACACTTAAGGCCAATAAGTTTGAAGTGAAAAATTACACTTTAGATGCACTTAAGGCCAAAGATCTGAAGTGCAACAAACGGTTTGCTATACTTAATGCCAATAAGTTTGAAGTGAAAAATTGCACTTCAGATGCACTTAAGGCTAAAAAGTCTGAAGTGCAACAAACGTTTTGCTACACTTAAGGCCAATAATTCTGAAGTGAAAAATTGCACTTCAGATGCACTTAAGGCCAATAATTCTGAAGTGAAAAATTGCACTTCAGATGCACTTAAGACCAAAAGGTTTGAAGTGCAACCAACGTTTTTATGCACTTAAGGTCAAATAGGCCTGAATTACAAATTGCCCAGAAACAGAAATTTGTTCTTCGAATTATAACAATCAAATTTACGATTTAATACCTAAATCTACACCAAATGAGCTCAAATTTGAAACATAACCTCCAAATATCATCAGAAACAAACCCCAATCATCAATTTGTCAAAACAACAATAAATCTAATGAACCCATTTTGCAATTAAGAAAAAAAATAAGAAGAAACCTTAAGCAATAGCAAAAAATAATGCGTCATAACAGCTCACCATTGTAAAATATCATAAACTACATTAAAATATGTTCATAACCATCATATAAAATTATTGTCACCCGAAAAGAAGAAAAGAAGAAGAAAATGAAGGAGGAGAAGGAGGAGGAGAAAGAGGCATGAAGTTGTTTAAAAAGCGGGTACAAGCTAAAACTTTAAAAAAAAATGAATATAAGTTAAATGGGGGCGACCAAATAGGACGCCCCGTGCAATTTTTACCTTCAATACATATATGCATGGCCCATGTGATAATTATACAGATAGCCTATTTTGTACGCAGAGGCCTTACAAAAAATCGAAAAATTGAACTTAACCTCCATATAAATAGTACTTTTCCAAGATAATTGAAATTTAATATAGTTTTTTCTTTGTCTAGACATATTTGTTATCCTTACTTGGGATGTAACATTTAATATGATTATTATAGAGGACTCGTTTTTGCTTATGTAAATGCTGGATTCTAACGCGTACGGTCACTTTTGTTGTTCAAAATACTTCAATTTCTTTGTTCTTTTATTTTTACGAGCCAAGACTTATCAACTCATATTTCTTTTCCGATTTTGAGATATTTGTTTTATTGACCAGTATTTTAAAAAGCGTGGGGCGTAAGGCGGACGTTTTACATATGCCTCAGCGAGGCGTAAGCCCCGGGGCACGGGGCGTAAGCTCCATAGGTATTTAATTTTTAATATTTTATAAAACAATATAATGATAGTAAATATTTATAAACATGTAAAATTACATTAAAATTGAAGAAAACTATAAATATGTGAAGTATATATATATATATATATATAAAATATCTAGCATAATTCTTAAGTATAACTAATGCATACAAATCACGTATAACGTCTTTAATTTTTAAATAATTAAAAACTTAGAATTTCTTTTTAAAAAAATAATCAAACTCCACATTTTACCTTCCTAAAAGTAAATAATTAATAAAATCTTATTAGTACGATAATTAAAATATTACTCCTTCATAAATAAATACAAATTAGTTTAAGATATCAAATTAATAAAAGTGCATAACAAGGAGGGACAAATAAACTAAGACACGACCAATAACAAGTGAAGATATAAATTCGCAATACTATATCTCATTATTAGAGTTATGCTCAATCTTTATATTTCTATCGATGAATAGAACTTTTATCATTAATTTGTTAAAGAATTTTGAAGGTCAACGATATTAATTAGGAAATTCGACACGTGATTTGCGTTAGAACTGTTAGGCGAGCCCCGAGCGTTGGGCGTTAGGCGTGTTCAGGGCACACGGTCGGGCGCTTGGGGCGTAAGCCTCACAGAACTAAGCCCCATACATGAGCCCCGGGGCGTTTTGCAAGTGCCCCGCCCAGGGCGAGTCCCAGAAATACCTTTTAAAACATTGAATATTGACAACTCCTAAAAATATGTAATTTAGGTTTTGCATCGAATTTGCATCCTATATTGAAAGTTTTTAGGAGTTATATGTTTATTCGTTTTAATTACTAAAGTTTGGTTAAGCTTGAACGTACATATGAATATAAGTTCATCATTAAAATAATGAAAGGAAACAATTATCATGTACGACCGAGAAAATTTCTCATATAAGAATATTTTAATAAATTACGAGTTTGCCCATTTGTTCAAATATTGCGTGCTAAAGATAGATTGGCTTACAAAAATAATATCGGTAGCTCTCGCTCATTGATTGATTGACTGACTTGAATTAAATTAATGTGCAATATAAGGGAGGGGGGAAGTCAATTTTTCTTTTTGTATGAAAATGGAACCAAGTCGAACCACGAACACAGTATTACATCACCGTTTATCTAGTCTTAGGATAGGTGCTTTGAGCGTGTACCCATATCAATGAGTATATAATTTTAAAAAAATTAAGTGAATATTATTAGATAATTTCACCTCAATTTTCCGTTACCGGGAAAATAATCTGTTTAGTGATGTTTGCTTGTGAATATTTTTGGAAAAGTTTGAAATTCTTTTCCAAAATAGGTTTTCGCAAATTCATGGTAGATTTATAGCAACATTTCTTTAAACACTAAAGAAACAAAAGCTAAGAGATAACAATTGAGAAGGCAAAACGAAAATGGAAGACGTTTGAGAGTGATTCGGAAAACCTAATCGTCTCGGAAATTTGTTTGGATGGAGTTTTGATACCAAAGCTCTTAAAGAAAGTTATGATCAGGGAACATTAGTGTTTACTCGTAAAACGGTACAGTTGAATTTGTAACGTGGTTCATAGACAAGCGAATCGATTTAATCCCAAAGTGATAAATTAAATAAAATGCAAGACTTAGCGTTGAAATCGAGATAATACAACAATAGTTTGGTTCCAGGAGAAGAGCTCCCGAAGGCAGTAATGATAATATCAATAGACAGGAAATAAAGTATTATTGAGCTTTAGAATAATATGTAGCATAAGTTTGTCAAAAAATTCGTGTCATACAATGATTGTTGAAGTCATTATTTATAGCTACACCTAGGGAACAAGATCCTAGGATCAAGCCCCTCTTAAATGACAATTATGGGGGGCATTGATGAATATGTAACGACAGACAATGAATGTCAAAATTCTCTGTAACAGATTGTGTATTTAATACTGGAGAATATTCTTCATTGAATGTCATCGGGTGGCAAACATTTGTTTGTCTTCGTTACCAATATTCCCCTCGGGGTTTACCCAGTGTCAACCGTCAACCGAAACTAATGTCTCCGGTCTTGGTTTCTGTGACAAAATTTAAAACCAAGAAAATAATAAAACCCAAATTCTACCCATGTATGTGCCAAGACCTGGTGTCACAAGTGAATGAGCATCTAGTAGATTATACAAAACCTCAAATACTGTCTGAAATAAAATAGACAGAATAATAAAATAATTTTAAAAAAAATACAAGGAGAGACACTAGTAGCTGCAGAACGGCAGCTCACCACTATGCCCCTGGATAGCGTGGGTGTAAGACGATAGGTCCCCCACTAGTACTTGCCTCAGGTCCTGCACAAAAAGTGCAGAAAGTATAGTATGAGTACGTAAACAACGTGTACCCAGTAAGTATCAAGCCTAATCTCGAAGTGGTAGAGACGAGATGACCGACTTTGACACTCACTATGGGTCAATAATAATAATTGAAATACAACTAGGATATTTAAATCAGCATGATTTACAGAATTTATAAATAATTTATTTAATCAGTGGAAATAATCAAATTCCTTTAAATACAATAATTCTCAATATATTAATTAAATTTCTTAAATTCAAATAATTTTGTATTTATCAATTAATCTCATTTACAGGAATAACAATTTATTTCCTTAATAAGCAGGAATAATAATTAATTAAATTTCAAGGATTCTCTAATTTATCAATTAGCTTCGCAAGCTTGAAATAACTATTAAATTATCGTGTAATTATTATTATTAAGCACAATTTCTGCCGAGGACGTACGACCTGATCCAGAGTGTCGTGTACACTGCCGAGAGACGTGCGGTGCGATCCATAGATGCATCTATCCTGCCGAGGCGTTCGGTCCGCTCCACAAGAAAGGAGGACATTTTTTATGTACCTCCAGAAAGAGTGTGTATTTATTATGAGATAAATTCGGGAGGAGAATAATTTCTTTTAACAATTAATTGATTTAAACAGAAAATCAAGCATATGAGATTTCCATCCTTTAATATCTTTATCTAATAATTCACAATATATTCATATATATTAATTAATATTAATTAATCAAGAAATATAATTT